CTGTCGCCTCTGCCGCTTGCGACGCCTCCGCAGTGAGCTTTGAAAATGATTTGCGTGCCGTTCTTGCGTTTGGCCTGCTGATTTGTTGCATGCGTCGTTGGCGTCGTCATCGAGCGTCAACAGCAACAACGCTTAACTAAGCCAACCAACCAACCTGCAACAACAATAACAACAACAATATTGCCAATGCGTGCAAGTGAAAAGCAAAAGTGTTACAATTAAACATAAATTAAAAAAAAAGAAAAAGAAATCAAAATCAATTTTACAACACTGTAAATCGAACTTCTAATTTTAAGCATGTGCGCCGCAGATTGAACTTCTATTCAAAAATAATAATTGTGAAAAATATTTCTGCTAACATTTTAACAACGTTGTAAAATTTTAAATGAATTTATAATTACTTAATTTTATTTGCAAACTTTAATTGTTTTTTATTATATTAACATTTGCGATTATATAATTATGATGTATGCAAATTTTAATATTAAATAAAAATTGAATTTAATTTAATTAAACATAAAGTAATTTCAACAGTTAAACTGAAGATAAATTTTAAATTTATAACTTATATTTTTCACATTATTCAAATGTTGTTTTCAAATGTCTGAGAACAATTTAAGCAATTTAGTTTTCCATATTTCTAGCTAATTTTGAATCAACAAAAAAAAAAGAAGAGGTGGAAGGAGAAGAAGTGCAATATTCAAGAAACAAATTTTTAATGCAAATAAACAAAATGTGAGACGTAATGTTAAAACAAATTCAAAGGCAAAAACGAATTAAAAACAATTGCCGCAGCAGCTGAGATCCTGCAGCAGCAGCAGAAGCAGCAGCAGGAGTCCAGCTGAATCACAAACCAATTACAAACTTGCAACAGCGTTGCAAAGAGTGGGAGTGTGTGTTAAGTAAAATAAATTTCAAGAAACATAATCAAGCAGAAACGGAACAAAAAACCATTCACAACGGCGACCATCACGAACTCCGCCCTTGCAATGAGCCAATTGGGCACCGTCTACGCCACCAAGCGAAGGCGACGCAACGGCAAAAGGTGAGTTGACCGAGCTGGGGCATGCCCATCGATCGGGGCAGCGCAACCGCAGGGCTCCCTGCGAGATTTCAATCAATGAAGCTGAAATATTTCAATCAATCGTTGCAAAGTCAATGCGAGTTTTCCTCTCTTTCATTAATCTACGGCTTGTTAGGACAAGCAACTGATAAATGATGATGCCACAAACAGCGCATCTGTGCTACTGGTCTTCCTTTCCTATGTGCCACAACAGAGAGAGGTAGCTGCACTTTCTTGACCAACATGTGACTTGTGACCTAATGAGGTTATAGATCAATATGGCTAAGATCGATCGCTGAAAAGGGAAAAATCTAATTTGAATTGGGTATTTTCTAGCCAGTGTAAGACTAAATTCTTTGGGAATCAAGCACGAAAAACAGCCAAAACATAAAATATAATAAAGTAAAAATATACTTATATACAAGATATTTGCTATCTCTCCAAATAAAAATTGAAGTAGATTTACAAATTGGCTCGTGTTAAACTGGTTCGCTT